CACCCACCGCACCCCTCCCGCTCACCCTGCCGCTCACCCAGTCGCTCACCCCACCGCTCACCCCACCGCTCACCCCGTCGCTTATGCGCCGCTCACCCCCTCGCTTATCCGCTGCTCACTCACTGCTCATCCGCCTCTCACCCTCGCTCACTCAATTGCTCACCCGCCGCTCACCCTGCCGCTGACCCCGTCCCTCACCCTCCGCTCTCCCACCGCTTATTCCGTCGCTCACCACCGCTCTCCCGCTCACCCTGCTCGCTGAAATGACAAGGGCGCACAGCGAAAAAGTCCCGACCACTACTCTTTCCGACCTTTCTTCAGATGGAGACTTTACCTCCAGTTTTCCGTTTATCATAACATTAACAGTTGCATACTAATGTGGGGTGTGTCGACGAGGGCTCATATCATAGTATTTTTCTAATATCTTTGTTTACATAAGGAATTACTATTTCATTGTTTAGGACTTCCATTACTACAACCTTTCTTAGTGTTAAGTGATAGTTACGTCTTTAAACACACGTTTCTTTATCACATGCTTTCAATGTTTAAAACCGTTTCAATACCTAATCGCTAGAAACTCCAGCGATTTCTTACAACAAGGCCTGCCCAGACACGCATCCCAATATTTTTTTAGTATCAATAGATGCAGAGGACAGTTGTGCAAACAGAACAACATGAATGTTGAACTGGTTCTTTTAAAAAGGAGACTGCCATCTGTGTTCCCGCGGAAAGGCTCATATTTACGCAAATTGATCGAAGTATTTGTGCTTTTGCCATACCTCAACATATATATATATATATATATATATATATATATACAATTATTTTTATACATAAAAATATTTAACACAAATTTGCAGAAAACTATTTAACAATTAAGCTTAACACATGTAGAATTAGCTCTTAAGTATATAAAATATCAATTCAATTACTTTGGAATTTCTTCTGGAGTTGCGCCCACCTCCCGGCGTTTTTCTGGTAGGGTAGCGGGTGCCGGGTAATATCATAAGAACGCTTCTGTTAATTACATATCCTCAATATTATCCAAGATGTTGAAATTTATGGCAGGATGATAATAGTTGGCAGTCAGTTACGTTTAAAAGCTTTGATTTAAGAGGAAAACAAAAGGTCTCTTGGCTAAACGTTATCTTTTCTCGACATTCAATCACCGAAAATATCTGTTTCAGAACAATTCATTTCAAATGCGAGAAATTATGTATCATCGATTTTAAATTAATGTCAGTCATTCTTTGTCAGTGTTTGTTTGTTGGTTGGTGTGCTTAACACACTTTTTGGCTCGCATTTCCTACAAATGCGAAATGGTTAATGAACAAATGTGTGAATAGTATTTGTAAATATACTGTTTTGTGAAAGATAACTTGTATTTATTCTTCTCCAAAATGGTTCACTTAATATTTTTTCTTTCTTGGAATGAAACTTTCGCGAAAAAACATTTAACAAAGGAAATGGCATCACCATTTTCTGTAATTTGTGCATATTACCTTTGCGACCTCTCAAACGTCTTGCTTTTCCAGTTTAAGTTCTCACACACTTTTAGAGGCTGATTATTCAGAATGTTTTGCTATGAATATTAATAAAACTGAAAGACAAGTTGAGAATCCCAATTGAGTAATATTACGAACACATTTAAATTAACTTTTTTAGCACAATGTTGAATAACCTATAGCAGGTTTTGTTCTTAGGAAACATTCTCAGATTCTGAGAATATTCTCAACGTGTGAACATTTTTAAATTGAGGGTCAATATACTTCGACCCAGCCCTGAAGGGGTGGAATCCACACACACTTCTCAAGCAATTCGCCCCAACTGTTCTGCTAGAATGTCATATCAAAAACATATTGGCCAAAAATATGTAAAATTCTTGAAATTATGTTGATTTCATTTGTAGATCTGCCAGTATTGTTCATTACTCTCAAAAATATAAATTAATATAATTATTACGGTCAATAATCTGCTGTATCAATCATCATTTTTCGAAAAATTAGAACGCGCCCTTTAATAATTTATTTCTGGAGTTCTCCCTTTGTAATTTCTTATGAATGCATAATAGAACGAGTAATTTTAATTAGCATCATTTGAAAGTACTGCGGTGCATTACGCATACATTGATGCATCGACGTGTGGGATCTTGCGTGCCGAGGGGAAGCTCAGAGGCGCGAGTAATTCGCCCTAAGGGTGTGTCTTGAACGTTCTCCCTTCGCCTCGCCGCCGCCGCCGCCGCCGATCCATCTCATCTCCATTCCGGGGTAGCTAAATATCGTTCATAATGAGGTTACCACCTGAAGCCTCATAATCCTTCCGCCTGGAATTTTTACAGCCGCGCTCTTGGTGGAATGATGCGTATCACTTTTATATAACCGCCTGCAGACAGGAGAGGCGGGGCACGCGGTTCCACTGGCGGCGGCATATACCGCACACGTGTATGTACAAAATGATGAAAATTTTGAGCCATAAACGTTTTACGGTGACACGACACCGGCCGGTATGTTCCCCTGCCGTAATGACCCAGTAAAGCCGTGGAGAGGATGGGGGCGGCGGCGGCGGCGGAAGCGGCGATGTCAGCGCCGATGGGGGGGGGGGGAGCTCCAACCGTTTTCCAGAGGCCAATGGCTGAGACGGAAACAGCGTCCTTAATATCCCATGCCCATTTGTGCTGTCCACTTGCCTAGAGCGTAATGCGTTTCGATAACAGAATAATGACGGTTTTTTTCTGACAAAGGATCGTCGTCTGGAAACACAATATTTTACCTCTGGCTCTTGTGTATTTGTGGCCATATTTTTCTCTACACTGTGAAAAATACTTGTTTGCATGCAACAGATTCTTCCTGTATGCTGCATGCAAGCTGTTAGTGAAAAGCGCCCCAAACAGGTTTACGGTTTGCAGTAGCATCGTGAACGTTCATCACATAATTGAGCTCTCGATTAACTTGTTCAAGAATCATTTGAATCTAACATTTCCCCGTTTTCATGGAACACATTCATTCCATCTATCCCTCCGTTGTTGGGGTGCAATCGCTTGATACAGAAAACCCTCATTCAGGCTCACCACAATTTTTCAGAAGAAGGAAAAAACGGTCACTTTATGCGCAATTCTGCACTATGAGAAAATTTTATCCAGATGTTGGACAGATCCACAGATCGAGGCGGGCAATTTGGATGAAATATATATATA